GAGATAAAGTGCTGTTCATGATCCCACAGGGAGAAACTCTGGAATCATTTTAAACCGGTCATATTCTGTTTTCTTAGAGTTCTGTTTAAAGCTGCAGAATGAAACTTTTACAGGAAAAAAACTTCCCATATAGTATAATATGAGACAGATAATCTGTGAAAACATCCACTCCTGGTCAAGAACAAGCAGTCAGAGCCATGAGAGGAGGGTCTTAGCGCTGCCAATCAACCTTGTGTTTATTGACAGCAGAAAGAAAGGGGGAGGAAGTGAGCAGCACATACACAACAATGATCGACAGCGCTAAAACCCTTCACGCGTCTCTGATTGGTTGTTTCTGACTGAGTGATGTTTTACTCCTGTTAGTACTGGGAGCACTGGGAGAAGGCAGAGGAGCTGTTTATATTATACTGCCACAACATGTAAATGTAAAAAACATATTTTAAATAAAGTGACATCCTGTAGCTTTAAGGGAGTTTTGACAAAAACATAATTTAATTTCACAAAGGCATCAGAAAGGAAAGATGGCGGAGAGAGAGCTGGGTGTCATCCGCACAGCTGGGAAAACAAACGGCAGATTCTCTGAAGATAAGACCAACTGGGAGAAGATAGAAGAAGAAAAGGACCAAGACCAGAACCCTGAGGAACACCGGCGGTCACTGAGGAAGACTGGGCCTTGACCACAACAACCTCAAACACGAAGATTAAATGCATAGCATCAGATGGTATCTATGGCAACAATATAATGATAGAAATTGTTATTCTAATTTATTTAAATCTTAAATTTTATCTCCACTGAAAACCACCAAACAAAATTCAACAATATTCTCAATCTGAATAAAAAAATCTAAATATTTCAGAGCTAAGGTGGAAATTCAAACATTTACCCTGACAGTTAGGAAGCTGAATGCAGTGGCTCGGTTTGCTTATGCCTTGGGCCGGCTCGGTTTGCACATTACTCACACAGCTGAATTATCAAGAATAATCACTTTTCAAAGACGTTTCCATCTTCAAAATAAAAACACTGGCATATTGGAGCCACCTGCTCTGAAATGGTTCAGCAAAGCACAGAAAATAATAAAACAAATCTGAGCGGCTGCAGAAGTGAGACAGAGAGTCGGTTCAGCTCCAGATGAATGAGCGGCAGGGGAGGACAACAGCAGCAGGACACACAGCTCCTAATTCATACAGTCCCACTGCTCCTCTCTGAGCCAACAACAAGCAGCTCATTGTTGGAAAACAGCCGACCGTCTTCACAGAAACACCAGCACTCAGCTACAGCTCAAGGTCCAAATCCGCTCTGCTGACGTTTCCTGGAAAAACCTGCAAACTCTGAAGAAGTTTCAGCTCTGCTGCACAGGATTCAGAATATTTTAACACATCACAACCACAAGGTGCAACATATTTCACTGAAATTTCATCTGACAAATGAAAAGTGGGAAGAATCAAACCTTTCTGGAATCACCTTCTGGGTTTTGATGTGGCGACAGTGGAGAGGAAAAACTCCAGTCTCATCTTGTTTTACATAAAATGTGATAATTTAATTTCTTTAAATATCTGAAGCTCAGACAGATGGAGCAACATCTGTGAACATCAGTTGTCAAGTCATGTCACAGATTCTCAGTTAAATGGAGGTCTGGACTTTGACTAGGTCATTCTAACACATGAATCTGGTGGTTGTCCTGAGGGAAGGTAAACTTTGACCCCAGTCTCAGCTCTTCTGCTGGTTTTCTTATAGGATTTAGCTCCATCCATCTTCCATCAACTCTGACCTGCTTCCCCACAGCATGATGCTGCCTCCACTGTGTTTCATAATACTGACATAAAAGATTCAAACCCAAGACTTTTTATTGCTGCAGGGCAACCATCAGCTCCACTTTTCTTCCACTTCTCACTGCTTCTGAAAATACTAAATAAAACTAAATCACATGTCTTCATAAAACATTGACTGACTGATCATTATAAAGAATAAAACCAAGTTTTGCTTTAAAAATATAGCAAATCTTTCTCATCTTGATGTTTTATGACTATAGTGTTCATTTAGTTACAGACTGCTGAGAAATAAACTTAAAACATTACGGATAATTCCTGTTGGGAAAATGGGATGAAGATAAGACAAAAAACTCCAAACACAGAAAAAACGTCTTCATTATAAAATAGGATCCAATTAAACAACAGATATTAAAGCTTGTTAAACGTAGAGCGGCGTGCGGCTGCAGACCATGTCTGTGTCTGAAGGAAAGCCGGATCATCCAGCCGTGATGAAAGCTCTGCATCGTTACGAGGCTCAGTGAACCGAGGCAACGACTGCAGCAGAGCGTCACAGAAACATGATTCATTATCTACATGGAGGCACAGGGACGCCAAACACTGCATGAGAAGAGGGGCTTCCATCAAAATGTGCAGCATCAGTGATCAGAATGAACAGAAATGATGTAGAGGTTCAGATGTTAAGGATTCCTGCACATTCTGGAGCTGAAGGAAATGAAGTAGCTGATATCTGAGCTGCTTCATCGACAAAACCAAAAATGACTGAACAAAATGGCTGCTTAAGATTCAGATCCATAATTTAGAGATTCACATCTTTTGGTCAACAGCAGGGGCGTCACTAGGTTTTAAGGACACGGGGGGCCTAGCCCCCAGAATATGAACAGGATGTGAACAAATGTAAAAAAATTCTCAAACAGCCACAAAAACAAACAAGTTGCTTTTCCAGTTTTAAAATGTTTAGGGAATAAAAACATCTTACTACAAACTATGACTGTAAGCAGTTATTCGCCATCATAAAATAAAACTGTTTAACGTTGCTTAAACAGTTATAATTTTCTACGGCTGCACATTTAAAACTATTAGGTACCTTTTGGAGAACATTTGTCCAAAGTTTTAGGCTTCCATCATCTTCCAAGCAATTCCAGCCATATTTATAACAATCGCCCAGAATATTAAGTCATGAAGTAAAGAAACCTGGCAGATTTATTATCAATTTTGAGTAAAAAAATTATAGTTTATATGATTATTTATTTAAACTCCAGCCACATTATTGGCAGTTTTTTGTAAACCGAACAACAACAACAAAAAAACACAAACCCATTCCATCGTCCATCTTCATATCAGTAATAATAATAATAAAAAAAACCCACCAAATTATTTAGGGGGCTTGAGAAAACTTTATGGAGGCTTCAGCCATCATAAATTTTACCAGAGACGGATAAAAACAAGCACACAGAGTCTAAAGTACCAGGTGTATTACATGCTAATGGTGCAAAGCAGCAGCTATGCTGATGAATGTTCACACCAGATGATTCCAGGTGAGATTATACCTGCGGTGACCCTGGGTCTGCCTCACTTCCTGAACCCGTTTATAACCCGACTTTATGAAACCGCCACCACTGTCATATGAGCTGAAGTGTTACCTAGTGTGAACACTGCCCCCACCAAGCTCAGAGAAAAGTTCAAGTCTGACTGCGGCTAAGAATCCCCAGCAGCGTGTTTACACAAGTAGCAGTTCCAAGATAAGACCAAATTATGCGAGTTCTTCCTGCCTCAGACAGTCAAGCCCAAACAGAGTCAACAGCTGAACATGGAGCAGGTTCTGAGAAGAGCTGACTAAATCTGCAGCTGCATGTTTGCAGTTTGCAAAGACCCATATGATATGGAGCGCCATTTGTGACAAAAATGACCCAATAATTTGGGTCATTTAGCCTGTCAGAAGAGAAAAAAAAAGATCATATTTAAACAAAGCTATTAATCAATAAATGTCAGTTTCAAACATTTTAATTTGCAAGGTAAATATTTAGCTCTATGCTAGCTAAATAATTAACTAGCTCAGAGCTAAATATTTAGTTTGGAATTAAAAAGCTTCTTGATTACATATTTTTTTGAGTTAAATATTTAGTTCACCAGCTATTTAGCTCAATTTAACTAAGTATTTAGCTTCGTAACTAAAAAGTGAACAAGCAATCTAGCTCTAAATTAAATATTTAGCTTCCTCTGGCTACATATTAAGCTAATATGCAAATTCACTTGCCTATAAGCATTAGTGGATTATCAAAATAAAAGATGGTTCTTCAGAGCTTCCATATAAATTCCAACTAGCAGAGTCACTGTTGAACATCTGCATTACCTTTAAAAAAGCTCATACTTTAATTGTTTTGAACACAGAGACACACAACCATGCACACCCACACCTATGGGCAGTTTGGAGAGGCCAATTAACCTGATAGTCATGTTTTTGGACTGTGGGAGGAAACCGGAGTACCCAGAGAAAACCCACCATGCACAGGGAGAACATGCAAAGTCCATGCAGAAAGGCCGGGGCCGGGAATCGAACCCAGAACCTTCTTGCTGCAAGGCAACCGCTCTACCAACTGTGCAGCCAACAAAATGTTTAATTTGCATCTAAATATTTAGTTCATTAGCTAAATATTTAGCAAACTAAATATGTAGCCTGCTAAATAAATATTTTTCCTCAGGCTAAATATTTTCTTTGAAAATTTGGCATTTATAAATGATTGAATAACATGGTAAAAATATGACTGTGAAAAATGAAACCACATTTTTTTCTCTTCTGACAGGCTAAATAACCCAAAGTGTCGCAGTTAATTTTGACAGTGCAGCACCCCGTATCTCACAGCTTTGAACTGATGCAAACTGTTGGATCAGCTTTTCAGAACTAAGGCTGGAACAAAGAACGTTGTAGGAACAGTTCCTCCAGCAGAACAGTTCAGCTCCTTTAGATTGGAGGAAAATGTTGCCCTCCGGCCACCGGTGCAGCCAGCAGGCTGGGACCCGCCTGACAGCAGTAATGATGAGTAAACAAAGCCTGCATCTGTTTCCAAGCTTTCCCAATCACTCTGAGGGAAACACGTGAGCGCCAATCCAAAGTTAAAGCCAAACAATGGGATAAAACTGGTTTATTCTGGGGGATTTTAGAAATGCAATTGGTGTAAAACACATGAAACCAGAGCAGAGAGGCAGAGAGAGAACATGCCCATGAAACCCACCTGTAGCTCGTCCATGCCCCGCGTCCAGACTGCGCTGCTTCCTCCGAAAGGCGACCCGGTTGAAGCTCTCCATTTTCCCCTCATCCATGGCCCGCTCAATCATTCAGACTGACCGATTCTGAGGATTTCACTGTAAGGTCGAACAAAGATCGAACATAAAAAAAGTATGTTTTCAGAAACGCGCTCCCTTCTTCCCGGCAAATCCAAAGCCGAGCAGTGGCGGCTCCATGCGCGTTCCCGTCACTGGTCCGCGGTCCGTCCGGGTCCGTCCGGGTCCAACAACCCGACCAGCGACACCCGCAGGAGCTCAGAGAGCGGCTTACGGCGGGCCAGCTTGGTGCTGGTCTCCCTCCAAAGTCACCTTGATGGGGGTGTAGCTCTGAGCCCGGCCCGCCCCGCCCCTCTGGTTCTGCTCGGGAACTTTTCCAACATAAATAATCAGAGGTAATTACTGAGTCTGCAGGTTTTCTGCTGAAACTCAACAACTTCAACGATACTAAAGACTAATTTTCTTTGGTTTGAACTAAATTTAAGGGTAGAGTTTTTTTATTATCTATTTTTACAAATACATTTAAATCAGGTTTAGCTCGCATTAGTCATATTTCTTTCCGTTATAGTAAACCTGTCAACTTCTGAAACCGCATATAAGGAAGTTTAAAGCAGGTTCATAAACCAGTGGTGGTATTAGATTATAATTTTTAATTGCAATCTAATTGCCGGATCTGTAATTAATTGAATTTTAGTCGAAAATTATAAGTAAGCAACATTCTTAGTTAAAAAAATCTCCTTTACTACTAAATTATTAAATAAATAGAAAAGTCATATATTTATTGTTGAGCTCTTTTGAGCTGTACCATTTTCTTTTACTTGAGTAATTTATTTATGGGGGATGTTAGAGCTCGGACCACATCAGCTCATTTCCCATAGCTGAAAATAACCAGGAAGGCAGAACCAAAGGAGAAATCTTTTATTTGTTGTGTATCCAGTTTAACACTGTTTCAAATGGTGGCGAAACTGTAAAACCCACAATATCCCAGCATACTGCAAGCATTCCTGTCAAACCACGGCTTGTTTTCAGGAACCCGGTCAGTCTCTCCGTTCAGACCAGAAGTTAATGAGCCAGCACAGATCCAGCTGCTGCCTCTTCATCACTCTGTAGTTGCAAAAGTATCAATCTGTGGTGAACAAGTGAACACACACGCTGAGCAGTACGTCCACTCAATGGTGTCCTTAAACACACCGATACTGGCTGTGCAGGTTCAGGTTTTAAATCTTTAAATTAGGACATAATATGAGAATGTTGGAAAAGTGCAGAAAAATGAAACTTTCTTGCAGTTGCCACATTTTCTGTGTCTCAAAAAGAGACAAAACTTTAATTTTGTAACAGAAAATGAATTCCTCTCTTATCTGGAGCTTTCTGTTCCTTTGACCTTCCCACACAGTTACTGGCAGAAATGTTTCACCCAGACCAGCCTGTGATTGCTGCTGCTGCTGTATTGCTCAAATGCATAGTGCAGAATTGTGCTTGTGCTGTACTGCATTCTGTCTGGGGAAGCAAAGGGAGACGGCGACACGGAGAGGCTGCATGGGGAGCCGCTTTTAAGTTACTGTCAAAAATTAACACAATTATTAGATTTATTTAGCCTGTCATAAGAGAAAAACATGGCGGCTCACTATACAAAGTCACATTTTCACCGCGTTATTCATTCATTTATAAATGTTAATATTATATATTATTTAGCAAACTAATCATTTAGTTGACCAACTATACATTTAGCTGCAAGCTAAACATTTAGTGGTTGCTTTAAAGCTCTAGCTTTAAGGTGAATTCTTAGCGAGTAAGGTACACATTTAATGTAAAACTAAGTATTTTGTTACAAGCTAAATATTTAATTTCAAACTAAATATGAAGCTAGTTCAGAGCTAAACATTTAGTTTTGGGCTAAACATTTAGCTTACTAACTAAATCTTTATTTAGCAAGTTAAATACAGTATTTAGTTGTCTCTGACCTAACTGTTCAATTTGGAACTAAGCATTTAATTTGTAAACTAAATGTTTAGTTTGGAGCTAAATATTTAGCTTCATAATAAATATTTTAGGTTAAGTCTGTAAATACTCTCTCGATGACATTTAACTTGCTGCTAAATATTTAGTTTAAACTGTGACATTTATAAATGAATATATAACATGATGAAAACATGCTGGTAACATCTGACTGTAACTCTAAAAATGGACCCAAAGTGTGGAGCTGCAACGTTTTTTTCTCTCTGTGTCACAATGAGGAAAAGAATCAGTAGCATGACTGAAAATACTCAACGAGGAAAATACAATGAGTAGATGACAGAGACCTTAATGCAGCATTTAGAGTTCATTTAAACGGCGCAATTCAAAATGAAAAGCAGCTCAAAACGCCTGATCAAATCCACTCAGTTTCTGACAGCTGAGCTACAAGCATCACCAGGACCCAGTGTAAAAAATGTGTCTAATAAATAAACAAGAAGTGATATAAAACAGTCTTTGTATATCTAATTTAAAAATGTTAAAATAATTCATAAATAAGCATCGCAAGAAAAACCTGTGAAAGAAAAACAGCTGAAATCCACCATCACAAACACGAAACCTTTTCCTGTCATTAGTCTGCTGGATCCGCCGTCCAAAGCGTCTAGGAGCTACTTTGTAGAAAAAACCTCCATACATGATTTATTTGTTTGTTATTCTCACAAAACTCTACATGGTTTAACTAGGTACGTTTTTTCTAGAAAGCGTCTAAATCAAATGTTTATTTTCGTTAAATTTTTGATGGAAGAACAAAACAGACTGTGTTGTGAAAGTGAATCTGTGAAACCGATTACTTCGTCTCCACAGCAGGAATGAATTCTTATAAAAAACATAAGACAGAAGAAAAACATACAAGCATTAATAAATCCCATAAATAATAAATAGTCAATAAATTATTATTAAATAACAGTGAACTAATTGAAAGATTCCAGTTCAGCGTCAGCAGCATTTCTGCCGGTCAGTCCTCCTGCAGGAAGTCGCATCCAGAAAACGGGGAGCGCGTCCTGCGTCTCTTCTACGACCCAGGTAGCCGGGAGGCCCGCCAGAACCGGGCCAGAACCGGGCCGGGTCCGGCCGGGGTGGGGGACAGAGGAGGCCCCTTCCTCATCCAGGGCGTGTCTGCCTATGCGTGGCTCCTATGGGTCCGGGCCGGGGGCGGGGCTAGGTGCCGGGGGCGGGGCTAGGTGCCGGGGGAGTGGGGCTGGTGGGCCATGCAGCTACGCGGGTCGCACGGCGAGAGGAGGCTGCGACTGCTGGACAGGACCGCTTGGTATTCCTGGAGGTCTTCCAGAAATTTACGACTGAAAAAAAAAAAAAACAAATGAGAAAAACTTTTACTGAGCAAAAGGAGGATAAAAATGGTGAAATGTGTTTAAAAAAGGAGCAGTTCACTCAGGAATATTGAAACATTTTGGGAAAAGGAGTTTAGCTTTCCTGTAAAGAGTTAGTTTGCTTGCAGGAAACAAAGTTGCTTGCAGCCGCTGGGTTTGCTGAGCAAAACGAAAATCAGAGTCTGGCTGTGCAACGTCTGCAGATTAGTCACAAAAATCTGCACAAAATGCTGAAAATAAACCAAACCTGAAGCAAAAAGAACCTCAGAAGCATTCAGACCCCGTGGACATGAAGAGAGATTCATTCAAGGTTTGCTGCAAATTTTGGAAATAAAAATCTAAAGAAATGTCACATGCACAAGTACTCGCTTAACTTAGGCTGACCTGTATAGCTTCTCCTACCTGGGGTCAAAGTTCACCTTCCAGCAGGATGACCCCACAAAGCACACACCCCAAAAATGACCAATTAAAAGCTGGTTCTGCAAAGTATGGACTCAGATCGGGTTAATGCAGATTCACTGTGGTTTGTTTCTGTTCTCACAGACGAAAAGGTCCCAGAGGAGTGAATAGTTCAGCAGCATTCACACCTTTTGAGGTGAGGCGGTTAGTCAGACGTACTGGCAGCATTATGCTGAGGGCCAGGTCTTCTCGTTTCAACCAGGACAAGAAGCTGAAAAATGTTTTTCTTCCTTTAAGCATAAAAACCATATAAAGTTGCTGCATCTATCAGGACCCAAAATCATTTGATAAAAGTTTAACTTTAAAGCACGACTGGAAAGAAAGACAACAAAAACACAACAGAAACAAACATATAGAGGCCTCAGATACACAAAGTAAATCCTCTCTGTTAGGTTTGATCAAACGACTTTTTAAGGGGCGTGTGCAAAAAAAACTATTCTTGATTCTCCTTTATGATGATTTAAAATCAATTTAAAAAGTTTTGTAAAATTTGCTGTCCATCAGCCTCCATTTTGTAACTAAACAGGAAGTTCTGACACAGATGATACTGAGACGTATGCAGAAAGAGATTCAACCGGCTCCGTCTTCGCTGAAGGAAAACATTTTGGTTTTTACCGAATCCCTGGGGAGTCGAGCTGGTTTATCTGCAGAGGGGACGTGAATACGGAGCGCTAATCCGACCAGCGAGGAATTATCAGTAGATAAATATTACAAAACTGTCAACTGGCTAAAACTTCCTGGATGGAAATTGCAACACTGTTGTTCTCGGAAGAGACAGTCTGCAGGAAAAGCAAAAAGCTCTTTGTAAAAGCAAATCAAGAGATGCAGAAAAGGAGTGATTGCGTCTAAGCATGGATTAATATTTAAAATGTAATAAGTGTGAAAAAGAATGTTAATGTCTCCATTTGTCTTTCTGCCTGGCAAAGCAGACTGGAGTCAGAAATCAGCATAATTCATGAATAGTTGCTTTGAAAATCAAAAATCAGAATTGAATCGTGAGTAGAAGGGTCAAAGATTCTCATCACTGTTTTTAACATCACAAATGAGTAAATTTAGTTTCTGGACAAATGTAGACGGTTGAGTCCAAGCTCCAAGTGAAAAAATAAGCATCTAAAGAGAACTGCCATGCAAAATTACACATGCAAAGAGAGAAAATCTTCAACCCTAGAATGAAAAGTGGATCATTTTGATGCTGTGTTTTATTCATAAACTGCTACGTGATGGAAGTGTGACTACAGAGAACATGCAGGACCAATTATCCAGATGCAGAGGTGTGAAAAGGCCAGCAGGTTCTCTAGCGGGTTACCTGCGGGCTAAGGAGGCTCTCCCTCGCCTTAGTTGTGGGGAGAATGTCGGTACTGAGGCAGAAGGCTGCTGACAATCTACAAAAAACTGATAAATTAGACAGATATATAGAGTGGTGACACTCGAGGTTAGAGAACAGGATGGCAAAAGCAAAACAGGAGGATTACTTCAACACTTCAGATAAACATTTATGAAACAGCTGCTGTTTGAATAAAAGCATCAGCATGAACTGGAACCAGTTACTGGCACACAAACAGCTGATTGTACCCTGCTCTGGAATAAAACACATGAAGGAGACATAATCCAACACTGCCACCTAGTGGTGTAGATGTGTTACTCTGGGTCAGGATCGGACTGAGGAGTCATCCTCAAAACAGCAGGCAGCCATGAAACACATGGTAGTTATAATTACTGTAAGTTACTCATTTCTGTTGTTAGTTCCTAAACCTTCCACAAGGAGGTGCTGTGAGTCACAACGCATAAACTGCTTCTGCAGCCATTTTTGGTTCCTGGTTGTCATGTTGTCAAATATTTAGTATCAAAATACAGAACAACAATTTTTTAAATATTGAGTATCAAAACAGAGAACAACACTTTAAACTGAAAATACTGACATGTAGAAAATTCTGATGATTAAGAGGAGAAAGTTCTTTATACCATAGAAACTTTCTCATATTTGTCCCATTACAATAAATGTACAAACTGTGAAGTTGAAAGAAACACATCTTGGTTTGCAACTTTTTTTTTTAATCTGAAGATTTTTTCTTTTTCCTGAGTCGATACTTTGTAGAATCACATTGTTGCTGCAAGTCTTTGGTTCTAACTTAGCAAAACAACAAGGAGGCATGAGCCTTTATATAAACTAATGATTCCTCTAAAAACACCTGGCTGTGGTGGGCCAGACATCAGACATAAAGTTTCATTTAGCATTTTTTGCAAACTTTCTTTGATGGCACTCAGCTTCCGATAAATGAATTCTTCCAGATGAAGTGCTAAATTACTTGGATGTTTTGTAAAGTTTGTTAAGTCCAGCTAACTTTGTAGTTCACCACTGAGGTTCAGCTTTACCACGGTGTTCAGAACAGCTGAGAAATGGTTTTTCTGTGACGGTCGTAACAGAACCGACCCTCAGGTACAAATCAGAGTCAGCTGACGCCTGGGGTGAAATTAAAGGTACACACATGACTTACTTTGGGTGGGCTGCTTTTTATCTTGGGCACTTTGGCGCCGCGGCCGCGGTGAATCTGCTCGTGGTCAAACTCCAGGTCCTCCAGCCGCTGCGTCAGGGCGAGCTTCTGCTGGATCGCCATCCTGAGGAGGGAGTTGAGCGTCTTCTTCTCGTCCTCTGCTGCGGCCAGCTGCCTCTGCATCTCGTCCAGCTGGGTGACATACTCATCACACCTGCAGACAGACAGAAGGTGAGGAGGTTTGGTCCCTGCAAGCCAGGGAAGCCATTCCTCTGATGGAGTTCCTCACCTCGTGGCAAACATGGCTCTGAGAGAGGAGAAGGTGGCAGCGTCTTCCTTCAGAGCCTTCAGTTCATTCCTCAGCTTCATCATGGTCTCTGTCACCACTGACTTTTCATTCTCATACTTGCTCTTCAGGTTAGCCAGGGCATTTTCTGCTGTCTGCAAGAACGAATATTTAACTATGAATTTCACTGAAAAATATACTGAACTCAGAAATTCTAACGGTTTTGCAAACATTCAGCTGTGCAAATGGCTGGGGGGTCATAGCCCCGCCTTCAAGGTGCAGCTCCTCCTCAGAGCTGCAGGTTCTGAGCTTCTGCCTCACAGAGCAGCTCTGCTTCACTCGGCTCCTTCAGACTAGCCAGCAGCAATTAGCAAACACATGGTTACTCATTATAGGAGCTACTTCTCAGTGAAATGGTGGTAAAAATGTTGTTAAAGGGTTAATAGAGGAGCCATGTTGGGATGACTTCCTGAAGGCGGAGCTTCAGAAAGAGCAGGAGTTTTTAAAGAGACAGAGGCCCAATTTCAAGGCAAATGTTTTAAAGTCATATTTCATATGAAAAGCATTTTTATAACAACTGAAGGTAATTATGCTATAAAATGGAACTATGTGCCTGAAAACACATAATCTGGAACAAACATCCAGAAAACAGCGAAACAGCTGAAACACTGAGTTTGTTTTGGTCGAGACTAAAACCCACATGTTCAGAGCTGCTTTTGAATCATAATAAATGGAATATTGATCAACATAATTGATGTTTATTGATGATTGTAACAATGACACTGTACAAAATACTGTTACTGTTTCTTTGACTGTTTGATGTTTTCAGCACTTGTGCTTTGATTTACAATACAACCACTTTGAAGAAATGACAAGTCTTTTTAATAGCTATTTATCAAAATGTTTAGCTTTAATAAAAGAAGTATTTTACCTGTTTATTGGCCTTGAGGACGAGCCGCAGCGTGGCGATCTGCTCCCTCTTGGTGCTGAGCAGCGACTTGAGCTTCAGGATTTCCTCCATGCACGACTCCTTGTCCTTGTCCAGCATGGTGGCCATCTCCCTGGCTGCAGCTCTCTGCCGGGACAGCTGCAGCGAGCGGTCCACGGCCCGCTGCAGGTGCTTGATCTGGTCTCGGATGATGGCGTTCAGGTTGTAGATGTTCATCGGCTCCCTCCGCAGGTCGCCGCCCGTGTCCGACGGCACCGGAGACGGGCAGCGGGATATGCTGATGGAGGGCGAGCCGCTGATGTTATGGATGGGGCTGCTGTGGCAGGACGACGAGTCCGCCACGCTGCCCGCCGTGTTGCCCGCTGCGTTGCTGTGGTGGGCGTCTCTGGACGGGGAGTCCATTGGGCTGCGCGGGGAGTCGGACGAGCAGGCTGCGGACGCGGCGGCGAGGCGGCGCGCCAGGCGGGGAGACAGCAGCGCCCGTGGATCCTCGGGGCCCTTCAGGCTGCCGCTGCGTGTGATGCGGCTCTGCCGGTAGTAATCCAGCATGACGCGGTTGGGCGTCTCGTTGTTGCAGAGGCAGACGTGGTGGTAGAGCTGCGCCAGCTCCTCGCTGAAGGTCACCAGCTCGTCCTGCGCCGCGTTCAGCATGCTCTGGCTCTCCGTCGCCGTGTTTGATGCGGCGCGCAGCTCGGCCTCCAGGCCAGCCACGCGCTCCCGGCTCTCACGGTAGCTCCGCTCCAAATGGGAAACCTGAGTATGTTCAAGAAATCGGTGAGATTATGGGCAACTTCTTACGTAACACCAGAATGGTACTGTATATATGCTTTAGGTCTGTAACTAATGATTATTTTAGTAATCGACTTTTCTGACTATTAACCAAATAAGAACTGGCACATTGTGCAGCCTGTCAGGAATGCTAAGGCTAGCTAGCACAGCCACTGATGAGGGCAGATAAACTGTTTTCCTTTAATGGGAAGCTGATTCTCTACCAATACAACATTTAGCAGGGAGTACATGAAGTGATTGACAGTGCTAAGCCCCTCCTCCTGGCTCTGATTGGCTGTTTTCGGTGCATTTCTTCAGACAGCAATACCAGCTCAGGCAGAAGTGGAGAGTATTTGATCAGATGAAGAAGTCAGTCTGTGTCTGAGGTAGCGAACCTGCTCAGTCAGCGCCTGGACCCGGTCGTCGTTGTGGCAGTCTCCCTGGCCCTCCACCGCCTGGTTGTACTTCTCCTTTAAGGCTTTGAGCTCGGCCTTCAGGTCGATCACCTCCGTCACCGCCACCTTGTACTTACACTCCAGGATCTCAAACCCGTGGATGTCAGGGTCGAGGCAGCCGTTGGACGACGGCGACGGGGAGCCGCCGTCGGGCTTCTCGCTCTCCTGCGGGTCGTCCAGCTCCTTGTCGGCGTTCAGGTGTTTGAGGGTGTTGACGTGTTCGGTGAGGCGATGGACGCGCTCGTTCTGCTCCGTCAGGGCGCCCTGCGTGTGCTGCAGCTGGGTCTGCGACTCCTGCAGGGTCATCAGCAGAGCCGCCTTCTCACGCTCCACCTGCAGGACGGAGGTGGAGAAGGAAAAGTTATAACTTCTAAAATGCTAAAAATGTGTAACAATAAATATTTTGTTGCATAACCTGAAATATTGACTGCAGTTCTCTGTTTTTACGTTTTTATTTACCTTGTTTGTCTTTTTATTTCCTGTTCTGGCATTAAATCAGTTTTACTTGAAGAGCAGGTTTTGTTGTTTTTCCCATTTTGAGCAGTGGCTGAGATAAATGGGCCTCCAGACGGAGGAAAAGCTTTTTGATGCTTTGACATTCCAGCAATAATTTAGGTTCGTCAGCTCGTTATATTATGTCAGAAACTAAATAATAAGCAAGCTAAATATTTAGTTCAAAAATGCAATATGTTTGATCCAAGTTTGGAGATAAATAGTTAGCAAGCTAACAGTTAGCTCAAAAGTATTTAGTAAGCAAAATATTTAGTATGGAGCTAAATATGTTGCTAACTAAATATTTGTGACATTTATAAATAAATTAAAAACTTGGTGAAAATATAATTTTGAAAAATTGCTGTTAATTTTTGTCTGTGTATCTTTGCAAATGGCACCAGCCTCTAATTAATCCACAACTAGTATAAAATGGTGAAGTAACCATGTCAGCAGTGGAAAACATTTCCACTAATATTGCAGAAGGAAATTTAATTCCCAGAATCCCTCTGGATCCCAGCTAATGCATCTGTCTGTGGTAAATGTACAGTAATAACGTTATTTGATATTAATGACAATCTGAAAGGATTCAAGCTTGATTCTAAATCAGATGCACAAAATGGACAAATATAAAAATTTCTCTTACATCTCAACTCATAACCTGAACTATAATCTTCACAGATTTAATATTCATAAACCTGTTAGTTTATGAATTCAATGTTTACTGCAATATTTGCTGGTCTGTTGTGTATACAGTCTAATGTCAATTTAAAATTTAAACTATATACACATATGAAGAGCCTCAGTGAAAACATGTTTTCAAAACAGTCCAAATAGATTGGATGTATTTTTTTCTCTTTCCTACGGAAAGTTTCTGTTTACATCATAGGTTTGTGGTGCATTTCCATCCTAAAGAAAAAGATATAAAAGTAATTTCACAACGAGATATTAAGATACATGGAAAGTATGATGGCCACTGTAAGAAAGGCAGTAAAAAAGGCTTACAGTATTCAGTTATGAACTGATTAGTACATTACTGTGTGAGAAAACACAAAAGAAAAAAAAATTCCCCATGTCCCCTACAGGGCTCCGTACAATCTCAAAATTTGTTTATTTTCTAGAAAAATTTTTGACTTCTGGAGCTCAGAAATTTCCATATTTTTTTAAGGAAAATTTCTGAGATTAATCTCCGAATCTCTGTGTTTTTCTTTCAATTTTACTTCTCTTTTTTCCTAAAGGCCCTAATAATCCGTCATATTGATGTGATCAAGTATGATTAATCAGATTATGAATTGGTGAAAGGCCAGATTAGTTATTCTATCAGCTTGTTGTCTAAAAGCTGGACTATAGCGTTTAAAAAGGTCGACTCACGTCTCTGATCTGCTGCTGATTTCTCCGCCTCAGCAGAAATCCATCATTTAAAGTCACATGACTCACCTGCAGCAGCTGCTGCTTCAGCTTCTGCATCTCGGACAGGTTGAGCTCGCTGAACAGGTCCGGCACCAGGCCGTCCGCCTTCCTGCCGGCGCGGTAATCCCCGCTGGCCTTGGCCAGGACGGGGCCGTGGTGCAGGTGGCCGTTGCAGCGGTTGCTGTCCTCCATGTTGCCGTTGGCAGCAGGGATGGTGCTGCCGTTGGGAACGTTGCCGCTGCCGGTCTCCTCGGTGAACTTGAGGCCCTCGACGCCGGTGACGGTGAGCGCCAGGTGGGCCCCGGCCCCGTACACGCTGTCGCTCAGGCTGATGTGGTGGGCCAGCTCCTTCCTCAGGTTGTTCTTCTGCTCGCGCTCCGTCTTCAGGGCGTCCAGCGCTTCCTCCAGCTGTCCCTCTGAGATGTCCTTCAGACGCAGAGCATCCTCCAGCTGGCTGTTGAGGAGGACCGTCTCCTCCTCCAGAACTTTGATTTCATGTTTCAGCCCCTCATACTCCACCTGCAGCGCAGCAGGAAGGACAGCAGTCACTCAACTGGACACACTGGTGGGTCCCCAGTCACTCTGACCAGAAACTAGTTTTCTACCTTTGTGTCAAAACTTCAGATATCCTAGAATTAAAAACTTCAAAAATTTTACAAAAATATAATTTACCAAAATCACAATGAATTTAAGAAAACCCCTCCTGAATGGATGGATGGATGAACAGATAGATGGATGGATGAATGGATGGGTGAACAGATGGATGGATGGATGGATGGATGGGTGAACAGATGGATGGATGGATGGGTGAACAGATGGATGGATGGATGGATGGATGGATGGATGGATGGTTTTCCAAACTTATCCGGATGGAAAATGTTCCAGCCTGAACAGAAACTTTGAGGAACCAGAGAGTTTCTCTAAGTTTGTGCTTTTATTCTGAAATCTGAATGAATTCTGTTTCCTGTTGAATTAACCCCTGACACACTGGACAGCGTTCGACCTCTGGACTTCAACGTAAAAGAATGCATTAGACAGAAAGGATGTGATCCAGGTGGAGGATCCATCAGCAGAGTGAGACCCGAGTGACTAAAACAAAGCAGCTGCTTCTTCTCCAAACTGATGACCAGTCGGCCAGCATCACATTTCCTTGAGGCGGGTAAAGTGAGAATGCATACATGTCATGAGTGGGTGAAAAGTAACACCGTAATGACGTGCAAACTCTAACCCAATAGGAGAACAAAGTGTTGATGATCATCTTTGTGACCTGGCTCTGCTTGAGCGTGGAGACCAGCTTCTGCAGGGTGATGTTCTCCTCCTCCAGCTCGCTGTAGTCCTGGAGGAGACGCGTCTCCCTGAATTTATACTCCTTGATCTCCTCCCTCATCCTGCTGCGCTGCAGGTCCAGCATCTCGTTGCTCTGCAGGAGAACCAGAACCAGAACCAGAGAGGAAGGTAGAGACAGAGGGGGTCAGAAGAGACAGTTTAATAGTCAATGGCTGATTAAGTACCTGAGTGAAGTTCAGATCTTACAAAATTGGTGCCAATGATGCACAAATTAAATTTTGTTACCACACAAACACTTGACACCAATTTTGTTAGATGTGGGTAATGTGGAGGGGCTGGTTGACCTTTTAACCTTTGAACTTTCATTATCTTCAAACCAAAAGCAGCACAGACGAAAATTTTTACTGCACAAACGTTTGACAGCAACTGCGTCTGATTTGAAGAAGATGGGGGGAAACTTCACTCGGGTTCGATAGAAGAGTGAAGGAATACAAACTTTCCAAGAAACTACATTTCCAGACTTATTGTTAGTGAAGGGCGACAGGGAGTTAAACTTTTAACACAATATTTTTGCCGCACTGCTGTGATAACGACAAAAGTTAAGATAAAAACTATTTATTTCTTCTTTTTGTTTTGGTAACTCTACAACTGTGACATTAGCCGAGTAAATAATTGAACAATTTGACATTTCGGCATTTCAAAAATAAATTCGCCTAATGGAAACACGTTAATTAAAAAAAAAAAATAAAACAAACAACTCACGTTTTAGATAAATAGTTTAGGCACTAGAAGGAGATTGTCTATTTCACAAAACTGTGATGGAAACACTTTTTTTGTTTCCGTCACACGGTCAACAACCGGATGTTGCCGCTGGCGCGATCCACGAAGAAGAAAATGACAGGAAGTAGTAAAATTATCATGTTTTTTTAATGACGTGAACAAACTTATTCGATTTATATTACGTTCCTCATTTAACAGAAATACCACAACTGTGAAATTGTGTTTTTTCGACATTAGCGGAATATAAGGTTTGCGGACATTTATAATGGAAATGCAGCTTGTGTGTCACAGCAATTATAGTTCCACAGAAACAAATACTGGTCATAAGAAACATTCCCATTTGTAATGCGCTTCTTCAGGACACCAGCCATGTATAGAAATCTGATCTGTACTATCACTAAACTGCACACGGTATTTTAAAATTTATTGGTATTTATTTATGTTTTCATTGGACAAACTGTGGAGAAAATATTAGAACTACCAACCTGACAAAAAGACAGATGGGGGGAATAAAAACATCATTAATTGCAATTTATTGCGCCAATAATAAATCAAAATTCTTATCATGATAACAGATTTATCACAATAAAAGCCCACCCCTACTCACATGTTGACATCAGTAAAATCATAAAAGCACATTACCTAAACACCGCCTTTTATCTGTAGATAAACAATTAAAGCTGAAAGCAGCAGATAAATTTTTTACCGAAATATGGCTGAACATGTATGCTAATATGCAACTTTTGACTAATTTTATGTAAAGAAAAGAAAAGCAAAAAATAATGAACTTCTTCCAGAATATGTGAGCATCTGTTCCCTGTTTTTGCTGCAGAGCTGCCTGCAGCTCCCCTGCAGCCCTCTGTGCATAAAGTTAGGCAGAAATGCTGACCCAAAGACAGAGTGAGGGGCCCGAAGACATTTATAGCGCAGAGACGTGATAAAAAAAATCCATAATATCTACAGTTGAAACCAGAAGTTTACATACACCGAATCAAACACGTTTAAATCAAACTTCTAGAAACAACACAAATATTTCTATTTATTAAATACCAAAACATTGAACTAGTTGACCTGAAGCCATTTCTGACCTGCATGTTGAGGCTCATCGTCCAGCTACAGTTTTAACTTCCTGGTTGGTGTATTTAGATGTTGCTTAAACATTTCTACAGAATGTTTTTTCCTCATAATGCCATCGATTTTATGAAGCGGACCAGTTTGAAATACAGCCCCACAGCATGATGCTTCCACTAAGCTAAAACCAAAGGCGCAAAGCAGAGCAGGGCATCTTCAACATCTGCAGTGGTAAAGTTTATACAGCTTCACATGATCTGCGCTGACAGTCGTCTCCTGCTGTAGTTTCATTGAAGTTCACTGACCGAGGGGAAAAATCTGGGTAAAGGAAACTGCAGCGGTTGTTGGCATCAGTTGTTCTGATCCATTTAGTGAATGAGTGACGTGTGTTTAATGGGAGCGTCCCAGTTCTCCCAGTCGCTGCACAGTGCCGAGCTCAGGGCATTTCACTGATTCCCAGCTTAGCACCGGATTTGCCCCCCACAATGGGGTCGTTGCCGTGGTGTCTGACCCCAGCTCGAACTCCTGAGCCCCCCCACGCCGCGCCTGCAGCCATGTTGGCGTTTGGAGGGACGAGCACGCATCATGTTTCCTCTGTGACAAAGGTTGGATCGTTTGTCCGCGTGACCTCTTGACCTTTGGCAACTTTTTGACCCAATTAGTTTAACAAAGATCTGATGGTATAAATTTGTTTTTACATGAAACACAAACACATAAAATATTCAAAAGGAAGATTTTTTACCAAATTCAGCTACAACCAAATCACTATGCAACTAATGTTGATTTGAGTCTTTTTCCTCTACATCAAAAACACTTTGAATGCTTTAAATTTCCCTCCAGTTGAACATCAATTTGTGGACAGTGATGGTAAAAAGTAAGAACACCTCACAAGTTATAGACGTTTAGACACAGAGTGAATATCCAGGGCTGTTTGGGGCGTACTCGGTGCTTCAGAGGCAGAGGTACAAGCTGAGGTTATAGTTAAGGAATTTTGTGGAGTTTTTTTCGGCTATGATTGTTTTTATGTAAAATATATGAATCAGAGTTTTTACTCATATGTCTTTGTAATTTAACAAATACATTGTGGTTCCTTCGTTAAAAACATATATATGTATTACTAAGTATTGTGAATGAACTGGGCTTTATGTTTGTATGCTAAAAAAACATCAAAATATTTATCTGATTTCCTTTGCAGATCTTTTCAAAAATAAATGACCAAAATACCTAAATATACAATTTGATTAAAGAAATATGTGAGAATGTAATTCATGATGTGAAAATCAAAAAAGGGGATATTTAGCTTTTTTTAGAGGGAATATTTTCATGTTGTTTACAGAAAGAAGAGTTAAACTATATGTAGATCTACTAGAATCTGTCAAATATTTTCCTTAAGTGATTATTTACATTTTCACATAAAGCCTTATTCTAATTAATAAAAATTAGGTTAATGTGTAAACAGCAAACATTTACAGCAGTGATTCTGTTAACATTTAGTTTCAAAATAAATATTTAGTTTGCAAACTAACAAAATATTTTCCTTGTTCCTCTTTACATTTCAGCTTCAAACGTAGAACGAGTCGTTTTAATGGCAATGCAGACGTTTACTGATGGATCTACAGCAGCGTTGGCTCGCCAGCAGGAGTTTATGTAGCCAAGCTTTTATTCTGATAGTCCACTTCCAGTCATCGGACAGCAAGTTTGCATTTTAGATATTTTTTTTTAGCTCTCAGCTAAATATTTAGTTTAGAGCTAAACATTTAGCTTCCAACAAAATATTTATTTGCTAACTAATTAATTAGTTTGAAACTGGAACATTTACAAACAATTAAATAAGATGGTGAAAATATAATTTTGAGAAATTAGCCCATATATTTTTCTCTTATGAGGACTAAATAATCCAAAATAGTGCTGTTCATTTTTGACTGTGTAACTTATGTACTACAGCACATGTGTCA